AAAAAGTCACGAATGAGTAAGAAAAGGGTTTAAAAGAATTTTTTCAAGAGAAATGAAGGCAACTAACTTGAAGCACGTATGGTCGACGTTACAAAACGAGAAGGTTTTAATTCCCGTAAGTTAAATATTATCGTGATCAAATAAATATTTAAAGGTACGTAGCCCCTCGACTTCAGTACTATCTAGCAACTATATGTTACAGCAACTTTCTTGGGATTTTTTTTCACGAAAGGGCGAACTCCTCATCTTATTTTTCAGACACAAGACTGTTAGAGCCCAGCAGTGATATCGTCCCAACTTCTTGGTACACAATCAAGTTGTTTTTCCAATGTGGATTGTGCCGATTACAAGATTGCAAAAGGAATTGACGTTTTGTATTAAACTTACTTTGAATCCTTTGTACCACTCTTTGATAGTGGCCTCGTCATATCTCGTGTGCGATTTAAGGAAGTCCATGTCCTCCTTACTCAGTTTGTCTTTGCTCCCAAAGCAACCCATTGTCCGCCTTCAAGTTGTAAGACTAAAACATTCAAAAAAAAAAAAAAAACAAGAAAAACATATGTATAGTAGCGATAGTACATCGGCATATAATATATTATATAGGAGCTGACATCAATGTTATAAATGGCTGATCTCACGATCCCTCCTTTCGTACGAACGGTATGAGATGAGCTTCTAGTAGGCGACAAAGATATAAATTCGATAAGTGTGTACGTTAAGTCATACCCGGGTAATTTTTTGACCAGCTAAAGTTTGCCACAGACTGTCAATCCAACCGATACAGTCATTAAAATTCGGAGTGTATCCAAACGTGCCTATCAAATTTTTATTTACTGTCTACTTGCCACAGCAAAACTTCTATCGCGTGAAACAGAGTACGTAAGTACATCAGTTTGGCTACTGCATTGACTTTTTTTCATTGTATTCAAGTAAAAACAAAAATATTGGTTTGGTTTTTATTATAATCGTTATCACTAGGTACACCCGTAAAATTAAGCATTTAACTTAACTAAGCCTTACAAAAGTTCGATGAGATGTGAGATTGGATTATATTTGTACTGATGAAAACACAGATTGCACATATGTTGAAAACAATAGTCAATGCTTTGTTTATTTTTAATGCCAAATATAAAATCAACAACTTTTTGAGCGCATTACAGTTACGCGCAACGCAAGTTTCCTCCTCCTTTTATTTCAGTTTAAGCTATACACGTCCCTGCGATATCGGACACCATAGCACTCGGACTCGGTAACAATATCGAACCTCATCCCCGATCTAATCCACGCTGCTATACGGTTCAGCTGAGAGAGTTTGCACGACGCTACACGCAAATGTATACTTACTCTCGCGCATTCAATGTACGAAGGTCGTAGTCCCAGTGAGAGGGTCTCGAGTGCAATATCGTCATGGGTATATTTATTCGATTGCTGGTGTTCACGCCGAGATGTCGGAATGTAGGGAGTTTTTTTTTTTTTTTGGAAATTAAAGAGATCGGGTCAAAGGGGACGCGTTGCCATTTGGAACCTGCAGTTAGTACGTATAGGGTCTCCCATGATTTTATATGACCGAAACAACTTTTTTCATTACTCGATCCGCGTTCTCGAATTGGGATCTAATTGAAGAAAAAAACATTACTACGTCCGTTTGGATCAACATACGTGTTTCGCATAATTTTATTTTCCACTGCGATATCCGTGACATTGGATTTAAGAGTGAGCTTCGGTACACTCCAACTCCCCGTCTACGGCTGCATTTACCTCCGTAAGTAAATGTGCACAAGCACGGCTCGACGACTCTCTCTCTCTCTCTGTTTGGCATCGGGCTCTCGTGAATCCTTGATGCGCTCCGTCGTGCAATGTCTAAATTCCAATGGTGAGAGAGAGATGGCTGCTTTTACCCTTTTTTCCGCGCGTTTAACTTAGTATACAAGCTGACGCACGAGTACGTCCTCGAATCGACTGCGCGTGAGGCGTAAGAACTTGAAAATTCCATACTGCTTTTGGATTAATCTCGCGTGTGTTTATCGTGTAAAACTATGCTTTTGAATAATAAAATCCAACACAATCGACCTCTAATGTGACTAGTTATGCCGAGGGTCTGATGCGCACTCTTCAAGTCATTCGCTGTATAGATGTTTTATTAGGACTTCAAAGGTGCCTACAACTTCAAGTCGTTCAGAAAAGACTTTACAAGTCATTTAAAGTCTTTAAGACTTGAAAAATCGCAAAGAGACTTTAGAGTGCGCAGCCCCTCCGGTTGTACATTATGCAGTCTCGTGTCACAAAATTGTATATACTTATACCAACTTTTGATTCCGCTTCTATGGTGGAAAATGGGAAAAAGTTCTATCACCGAGGATATACGCGAGTGGGATGCAAGGAAAAACTGTTTATACTCTCGTGTGAGAAGCGCATTGTTTTATCTCGATTCCTCGGGTGATGAGTGCCCAAAGAATCCATTTACTTGTATACAAAAGTCGAGACAAAAGTTTCAAGTCGCACTTCAAAAAATGAACAGTCTACACAAACTTTTATATCCTCGAGTTGGAAAATGCTCGATGCTATCTATTGGGCTTCCTATTTTATTTGTATTCGCTCTCGTTCAGGTCATGGAAAACGTATTATCCGAATGAATTGGAGACAGCGTTGAAAGATGAGCTTTGAGATTTACGATAGTTCCCGCACCATCCGACTAAACCCTAAAATTTAATCACCTTTCATCATTTGCTTTGAAAAATCATCGATTTTGAAAGTTGACAAATCGGTATACATGTGGATTTCAATACCAGGTTGAAAAAAAAAGGATCGGTGATTTGTATAGGTTATCTCGTGCAGACCCGCAAGCAGGACAATGATTGTTGTTACAAGTGATAAATCGGCCGAAGACAGGAAAGGGAGCAAAAAGTAGACAAGGTACGGGCATGTACGTGTATGTTATACGTATAAAAATGAGGATGAAAGGTGGCAGCTGCGCGTGAAAAAGCTCACGCGTGGACGACAAAGCTACAGCATATCGGAGCTCGTTCGACCCCTCGAAAGAAGCTCTCGAAGCGATAAGGGAGAATGTATAAAGGGGCTGGGCGTACCTATACACCGCACGACCCACTTCACCTGTTTGCTTGCCGACACACGGTGAATGGGTTCGGAGCGGGATGGAGGGACTAGATAACGGGAGGTCAAGCGATTCTCATCTTCCCCCCCCCTCCTGCCCCTCCGGAGCTCTACGTCGTGTGCGCACGCGGTCCTTTAATTTTCCGGACATGTGTATCTCGGTGACACAGGTGTGTAGTACAGTGTGTACACGGTTCGTGGAGGGAAAAGCTTCGATATCTGTGCGTGCGAGGAATTTCAATTGCCGATCGCGATCTTGACGTCAATTGATTAGCCATTAGGTGACGTTCGTTTTGGGTTCCAGTGGGCTCTTCTCTCCCCGGCACGGAATATATCCTAGTGCAGCCCAGAGTGAACGAGTGGTCGTGTGGATTTGTTGTAATCGTGGTTTTGGTTGACTGGATGTTTATTGAAAATTGTCGAAAAGGCAGGCAAAGTACAATATGCCTGTAACTATCTCCTTTGTAATTTTAATTCAGTTCTTGGGATCGAGTTTGTTTTTTTCAGCCTTTGAAGCACCATTCAACTATTGCATTTGGATGGGAGAAAAAAAAGTCTCTACGTTTGATTGCCAAAAAACAATTGGCCTTGTGATCATCCCTGAATTCAAAGTTTAAATCTGTAGGTTACGGTTTGACATGACTGCACACATACGGGCTCACGTGGGACCTGCATGTTTTTGCTACTAAAGTTAACGCCCGGATACACTTGAATGGAATTTGAAAGAAATATTTCATAAAAGCTTTTTAAAATGTCAACAGAAGCGATGTAGAATCTCCGCCATCATCGACGGCGTATATTTCCTCTCCGTAATGCACTTTGAAACAGCGCCAACTGACATCAGTTGCCGAATGGCACGAAATGTACGGGAATAAAAGTATGGAAATTATTATTTAATGTCTCTTTTTTTTTTAAAGATCATTTGATTGATGATAACCATATTAAGTAGATACGTCTTGACAATAACTCATTTGTAGCATTGGCAGATCTGTGTCGCTCTATTGCACAGCAAATGTCTAACTGTTTCAATGGAATTTGCACGACTAAAACGCGAGGTAACCGTGTCGTTGGTGCGTCGATTCAATTAGGTGCTGAAATTGACATTTGAGTAGAGTTTCGGTCAAGGATGTACAGGTGCTGGTTTTCTTAAGCTCATCCAGTTATGCACGTATAAACTTGATTTCCACAGCAACAACAAAAAATGAAAAGGACGAAAGCTCAACTGCCCCGTCCTCTTCTCTGGTACGATGATAAAATTGTAGTCGAAATCGGCTGCGCACCGGTACACACTAGCCTCCCAGAACTGGACGACGAAGCCGGAAACACGCCGAGACTCGCACATCCGGCGCACACGCAATATACCATCAAATAGTCGATCGCGTGCAGTGTATCGGGAATCGAAAAGCTATACGAGGAGGCGCTGTAGAAGTCGAAGAGAGACGAGTTCTGGCATAATGGCAGGGGGAACCGGTACGTGGCGAGAATATAACCGATCATTACCGTAATTCGCTGCGGTCTGCCAAGAGAGGACGAGAGATTCGAGATCGACTTTGCCAACTGGAAAGTTTCTTTCATTTTTTTCTTTGGAGGAAGCTGCATGGACTCTCATTTTTCAAAATTACATCGCGAGTTAGCTTCGGGGACCTCAATGATGATTTGTTTTTTCGTAATAATACCGATGATTTTACTCAACCAAAAGTAACCTCGGGTACAAGTTTTGTACTGCACCAACTGATTTACGTACAATAGCAAGAGAATACGTAAACAGTTTATTCCCCAGAGGAGTGATGATAATCGCGAGGTGATGGATTAGTAACCAGCTCAGCGAGATCACGGGGGGTACTTTGAGAAAGTGGTGCCTCGGGGCTGCCCCAACTCTCCCTACTTCTGCTAAATGTATCCATGGGGTGATTTTGAAATGTTTTGTTAATGCAGGATGGTACGATTGAACTTACGACTGAAATTCGGAATTTTTCTCAGCTGAACGGATACTTGCAGATCTGATGATCGTAAAATATGGTACGTGTACAAGTTCAACGAGGAGTGGGAGGAACTTGGCCCGACAAATACGCATTGCCGAGCTAACAGCACCAGGTTACCGTTGTAGCCCAGTACAGTTTTGATTATTTTCTCTCTCTCCCAGTGGATTGATCGAAGCTTTTTTTTATAAAAAAATCGTCGGTCTCGATTGGACGGTGGGAAACGAGGCTTGAGGCGCAAGCTCGTGGAAAAAGGTTGGGGGTGCAGAAGTAAAAAAAAAAGGGACGAGCGCAGAGAGCCACGTGGTCGTAAAGGAGCGGCGATGGATACTATTTTGTAGCCGTCGTGCGACACTGGGCGCGGAATCGGCGCTCGAGCGGCCTTCCCGAGAGTGGGAATCATTAACCCAGAAAGCCAAAAGCGTGGAAA